TTGTGTGTGTGTGTGTGTGTGTGTGTGTGTGTGTGTGTGTGTGTTTGTATACTCATATATACTTATATATACTTATATATCATCTTAGGCAAAGTAGTCTAGCTTTGCTTATACCTTATACTTGCACCCATCCCACCCCATCTTATTCTTGCATTGATTTCTTCCAACCACTCCTCTGATCTTCATATAGATCCTGATAAGTAACTCATTTTCCTAAAATCTAATCAGCTTGTCCCCCTAAGTCATGTTGTGTGCCCAAGTAGGATGAGATGAGCATACTCCTCTGATTAATTGATGGTAAGATTTTTCTGAGCAGTGTTGTTTGGCCACATCCTCATTGGTACTTTGAATTTCCATGTACACCTAGACTTGCCACCAAATCACTTTGTTCTTTGGGTCAAAACAGAATTACTAGTCACTTCTGTTTATTTCCTTTCTTTCTGTGCCTTTCCTTTCTCCAACCCCCTTGTTCCCTCTCAAATTGTGGCCCCTTTTTCTTTGATTGTTACTATTACTATGCACAAATTATTTCATATACATAAATAAATATACAAATAAAACCATATAAGTCCATTTAGTGTTGCTTGCATGTATATGCTTTTAGGCTGACTGACTTCTTATTGGGTAATCAATTGGGGGCTAATCCCTGAAGAATGGTAACTCTCCCATTGCCAGCATTCCTTAGTTGCCTATAGTTCTTTGTCTATGGATATGGATCTGGTGAAATTTTCCCATTCCATGTATTGGTATTGTCCTTGTGCTTGGTTTCATTGAAACCTATCTTAAGGAAAGTTTCAATCCGTTTATCTAGACACAACTGAAATAAGTCAAACTGATATATCCTACTGTGTATTTGAAAATCATTTACACAGTTGTAGTGCTTTAGCTGTGGTAGAAGGTGAATTTCTTCTTTAATTTTAATGATATATAACTTATATAAATATATAAATAATTATATAATGAGTATAAATATTTGTAATATTTATAATTATATATCCACATTTAAATACAATCTTATGAGTTCTTTTAATGTTTGTCATATGGATTTGTGTTTAGGGCTTACTACTTGGGATTAGAGAACCTATCATGGGTCTTGTCCATGGAGAAGACTGAATCTTCCTCTCTCAGAAGTCTTTGATTGCCTGTAGTTTTTAATCTAAGTATGGAGCCTTGTGCGATTTCCCCATGTTGTTATTGTGCTAATCTTATTTAGATAACTGTACTATTGAGATTTCACAGGTGTAGAATACAAGTTATATACATAAAATGCTATCTCATAGTAGAAATCCTTGTCCTCTGAATCTTACAATCTTTTTATCCCCTCTTCCATGATGTTAACTGAGCTTTGGTTGTAGGGTTGTATTTTAGATGTATTTTTTAGAGTTGGGCACTCCACAGTAAGTTTCTCTTTAAATTTTGACCAGTTGTGGATTTCTGTAACAGTCTGTGTTGAAGGTAACTTAGAGGAATGTAAGCAGGCGGGGGGAGGGGGGAGGCAGGCTCCCTGGGATGGTGGCTTCTTTTTCCCAAAAGACTCTGAGAAATATCTGGAATGCACAGGGACATATATCTAAGCAGGGTTAGTGGGAGAAAGGGAAGGACCAAGGGAGCAAATAAAATACCCAAGCCAGCACCTGTTTAATAGACTTCAAGCCTTAGGCTTCACCTATCCTAAAGGAATAAGACTGTTCATTTCCTTTTCTCCATGACTATAATTTTCCCTATTGTTCAGTTCTTTGTTTATGCAAGAGAGTTACATGCCAGTAATTCCATAGAAAATTGCCAACCACACCCCTCCTAGTTATACATGGCACCCTTTTCTTTGCAGTTTTACATTAATTTATTTATTGTGCATATGCAGGTAAAAATAAAGGCCATGGAACCCCTGTCAGAGGACAGCTTATGAGAGTCTGTTTTCTTCTATCAAGCAGGCTCTGAGGATTTAACTCAGGTCATGCAGCATGGCAGCAAGGGCCTTTATCCATTGTATCATCTTGCTTGTCCTGAATTCTTACATTTTTTCCTTCACCCTTTAGGGCCACATTTTACACCCTTCCTTTCAATCTTATTTTTAAGATTTTTTCCTAGGTTGTTTTAGATCATGTGCTGCTACTCCAAGGCCTGTTCTTATGACTGTTTTCTTTTGTCTTCATGACACACTAATTGTGTATGGGAAGAAGTGACTTTCCAGTGTTCTTGGAGATATACTGTGTTACTTGATCTCCATTTGGTAGTTTGTAGTAACCAGGATAGAAACCAAGGAAGCATTATTTGGACTTTTCAAATATTTTAATCTTTATTCTTCTGATACTTCAATCATTATTTAAAGAAATCACAACCTCTGTAGATTGCCAGAGCAAGGCCTTCAAATAACATGACACAGTCTAGGGACCCTGTGCTTCTGTTTTTTTTTTTAATATGATTCAGGATTGTTGGGGTTGGCAGGATATAGAGGACAAGTTGCCAGCCCATCATCATGATTTCTAATAAATCAGTTCAGTGTACTCACTGCAGAAGGTCCATCCAGTCTCTTGTATACCTGCAGATTTACTCTGGAAACTTTTAGAAGTGGTCATTTCATGGATGTGAGAGGGCTTTTTTACTTTGGGTATATTATCTCATTTTTATTTTCTGTGCAGTTTTATTTCACTCAGTTTATGCTATTTAATATTTTGATTTGTATTTTCCATTACATTTAGCATTAGTTTGTATTCTGAAATTTTTCTTTACAGAAGTAACTTGACTTCTCACTAGATCTGCAGCCTAATATAGAGTATACTTGTTCACAGTTTCCACGATGTGGGATTCCTCTCAGTATGCTATGAATATGTTTTATTACCATTGGTTAATAAAGAAGTTGTTTTGGCCTATGGCAGACCAGAATATAAGTAGGTGAGAAAACTAAACTGAATGTAAGAAGAAAGAAAGCAGAGTCAGGTAGACACCATGTAGCTGCAGAAGGAGAAAGATGACAGAACCTTACCAGTAAGCCACAGCCTCATGGAGATACACAGATTAATAGAAATGGGTTAATTTAAGATGTAAGAGTTATCCAGAAATAAACCTGAGTCACCAGTCAAATAGTATTGTAATTAATATAGTTTTGTGTGATTATTTGGGTCTGGGTGGCTGGAAAATGAAAGTACAGTCTCTGCTTACAAATGATACCCAAATATTTGGCAAGAATTTCTACATAAAGTCTGAGAAAGCTTTACAAAATTGCTTTTAGACCCACAAAATAGGAGTCAATTGTAGCTTCTTGGTAACTACATATTTTCAGATAGGCTCTATTTGCTGACAGTGAACAGAGGCACTGCTCCTTTAAGGGATGACTTCCTGCCTCAGCATTAGCAGCAAAACCTGTGGGGCTCCTTTAAGAGACAGCTTCCTGGTTCAGATTTGTGGTACAAATGGATCTGGCTTTTTCAGGGGGTCTTGTTATAAAGCACTTGAATGGGGCTTGTGGGCAGTGCACTGTAAGTTGTTTGATGGCCTTGTGGGCCACCTACTTCCGAAAGTTGGGACTGTAAACACAGCTCTCAAAGTTGATAGTAAATGAACCTCTACCATGTTGCAAAGCCAAGCAGGGTCTATTCCTTCAAGGTGCTGATGATCTTGCCTTTATAGGCCTAAATAATTCTTTTGCATTGTGCATCAGCATTTCAAAAGACAGGGATTCAATCATTATTGGTCCAGCTTCTGAATTTTATATCATTTCATTTACCGCTGAAGTCAATCTTTGTAAGAAATTGGTGAAGGTTTCTTTTTGGGCCTGTATGGCTTTAGTAAATGACTCAGTTTTCTTTCCTACTTATTCAGTTCTTTTCCAGGCATTGAAAATTGCTGCACAACATAAAGCCAGGGTTTGTCCATCATATACAGATTGTTTTTCTATATTAGCATAATCTCCTTCTCCAAGAAGTTGGTCTTGGAAGATTTCCATACTGCTAGTCCTACTTTGTTGCTCAGTGGTCTTGACCTCATATTTCTACCAGGTCCTGCATAGTAATCGGGGTCGAGGCTCCAAGACTGCTGTAACCAGGTTTTTTCAGTCTTGAGTGATAATTCTATTGCAAGTTGAGCATGAATTTAACACCTGCTTCACAAAAGGTGAACACATGCCGTATGAGACCATCACTTCCTGAATGTCCTTAAATCTAAAATTTCCATAGGATTCCAGTGAACACTTAAACAGCCTTGGAGATATCTGTCATTTGGCAGTTCCTTTAAGGTGATTGGATATATTAAGGTTGCTTGTTTGAAAACCTTCGGCTGTTGTTCCCCTCTAACTTTATAATGCAATGCTGGCATTGGTTCTCCTTTAAATTCCTCTGCCTGGATTTGAATATCTCTATGATCTGTTTTAGTAAGTTTTTCTAAAGCCTGTATCTTGGCACTCATATCAAACAACTTTTATAGAGATAAACCAAGAATTATCAATATGATAATTAACATTATGATAAATCCCAGTTAAGCTGATTATCCTTTCATTTAATTGATTCAATTGTTCCAATTTTAAATCATAAATTGCATAATCATACAGATTATTTATTACAAAAGATCTCTCTTTTGTAATAGTATTTCCCATCTTTTGATGTGGGAAAAAAACTCTCTCTTTTAACTAATTTCCCCCTTTAAGAATTCCCAGTTGCCTCACCAAATCTGAGGCCAATGTTGATTCAGATGACAATGAAGTTTGAGGCTGACTGCTGCTGCCTAGAACAGGAGAAGCCCAAGCAGGTTTCAAGGCAGCCACCTAGTTTGGCAGCAGCCAGAGTAGGAGGTCCAG